GCAATCTACTTCCATAGTGATACTGCCTTGGAAACCCAAGGAGGGGGTGCTATGAGTTGGGTCTGACTCAAAGACACATAACAATACAACAACAACAACATGCAAATATAAGATACTGTGGCCCACCAAAGGGAATGGATAGCTTGTTAATAATGTAAAAAATATACATGGCATGCTTGTGGGGGTGGGATCATGGAAATAAGGTGGATGGGGCCCTAACATGGGGACTAGTCAGTTTTGCCATCTATTGATACTGAAATGAGCCATCCCAGAAGCAGAAAGGGGGGAATCTCACTACCATTAAGAAAGAAGAGCCAGGAATGGTGTGCATCATTGGACCCAAGATCCCTGCATTGAGATGGCAAGAAGCAGTGGCAGAGAAATGGCAGCATCAGAGGCAGCAGAACCAAGAGACCAGCATGAAACAGAGCAGTGGGCTTCCTCTACCATGGAGCAAGATAGCCAAGTGCCTTCAGGCAGGAGACTTGATGGCAGAGTGTAGTGTCTTTCTGGACACCTATCAGCAGAACTGAAAGAGTGATGTAACACTTGCTAGAGCAGAGCAGATGCCAGGCTGAGGGGCTGAAGGCCAAAGAGAGGTGTTCATGTGGGTATGGCTGAGGGGAGGCTGTCCTGAGGGGAAGAAAATTTAATCCTGAGTGTTCCTGAACCAGAATTGTAACCTATTACTTCCCTAATAAACTTCATAATCATGAGTATTGTCTGTGAGTTCTTTGTGGCCACTGCAGTGAGTTATTGAATTGAACCCAGCAGAGAAGTAGAGAGTACCATTAGAGGGATAGTTGGTGTTAGAGTTGATAAGTAGGATGGAGGGTAGCAGCATATCTGACCTCCTCCACTTCATAGGATTCAGCCTTGAGCTGTTCATGCTGATGGCAGTTCTCTTTCCCCCTCATGAAGTTAGAGGAAGTCAGACGACACCTCCCATACTGTTTTTGTGCTCTAATTAGAATTATAACTAAATACTTTATCTTTTGGATGGCTTTGAAAATGGTATTGTTTTCCTTATTTCCTTTCCAGAGTTCTCATTGTTAGTGTAGAAAAATCCGACTGATTTTTTTATGTTGATCTTGTATCCTGCCACTTTGCTGAATCCTTCTGTTAGTTCCAGTGATTTTCTTGCTGAGTCACTGGAATTTTCCACATATGGCATCATGTTGTTATTGTTGTTAGGTGCCATCAAGTCGGCTTTGTGTCAAAGCGACCCTATCTATGTACGAAACACTACCTGGTCCTGCACCATTCTCACAGTCCTTGCCATGCTTGATCCTATCATTGCAGCTACTGTGTCAGTCCATCTCGTTGAGAGTCTTACCCTTTTTCGGTGACCCTCTAATTTACAAGCATGATATCCTTTTCCAGGGACTGGTCCCTTCTGACGGTATGACCAAAAAACGTGACCTGAAGTCTGGCCATTCTCGCTTCCAAGGAGCATTCCAGCTGCACTTCCTCCAGGAAAAGTCCATGAACAGCCATTCTTCTGGCAGTCCGTGGTATTGTCAGTATTCTTCACCAACACCACAGTTCAAAGGCATTAACTCTTCTTTAGTCTTATGTATAGAATTATAAAGACAGTTTTACTTCTTTGCCAATTCAGATGCCTTTTATTTCAATTTCTTGCCTTAACTGCCCTGCCTAGGACCTCCAATATGTTATTGAGCAGGAGTGGTGATAAAGTACATCCTTTTCCAGTTCCCGTTCACAAGAGGAATGTTTTCGGTCTCTCTGAATAATATTGAGAATAATATTGGCTGTTGGTTTTGTTAATATGCCCTTAATTATGTTGAGAAATTTCCCTTCTGTTCCTATTTTGCTGTGTGTTTTTATCAAGAATGGATGTTGGATTTTTTCGGATTCCTTTTCTACATAGATTGATATGATCATATAATTCTTTTTCTTTGTTTTATTTATGTAGTGGATTACATTGGTTGTTTTCCTAAAGTGAAACCATCCTTGTATACCTGGTATGAATCCCACTTGGTCATGAAGTATTATTTTTTGATACGTTGTTAGATTCTGTTGGCTAGGATTTTGTTGAGAATTTTTGCATCTATATTAATAGGGCTGTTAGTCTGTTGTTTTTTTCAGTGGTGTCTTTGCCTTTAAATGGTTTTGGTATCGGGGTTATGCTTCCTTCATAGAATGAGTTTAGAAGTATTCCATCCTTTTCTGTTCTGGAGTGTTTTGAATCAAATTGGTGTCAGCTCTTTTCTGAATGTTTGATAGAATTCACTAGTGAAGCTATCTGCGTCAGGAATTTTTGTTGGAAGTTTTGGTTTTTTTTAATGACTTACTCAGTTTCTTCTTATGTGTTGATTCTGTTCAAATTTTATACCTTCGATTATATTAGTTTGTGGACAACTTCAATCTTTTCTCCATTTATGATGTTGCTTATTTGTCCAGTTGTGAGGATTTTTTTTTTCTTTATATTGAGGTGTAATCCATACTGAAACAGTAGTCTTTGATCTTCATCAGTAAGTGCTTCAAGTCTTCTTTACTTTCAGTGAGATGATGTCATCTGCATACCGCAGGTTGTTAATGAGCTGTCTTTCAATCCTGATGCCACATTCTTCTTCATACAGTCTAGCTTCTTGTATTATTTGTTCAGCATACAGATTTAATAACTATGGTTGAAAGGATACAACCCTGATGCACACCTTTCCTGATTTTAAATCATTCAGTATCCCTTTGTTCTCTTCAAGCGATGGCCTCTTAATCTTGTATAGGTTCTGTATGAGCACAGTAGAGTGTTCTGGAATTCCCATTCTGTGCGAATGTTATCTATAATTTGTTATAATTCACACAGTCGAATGACTTTGCATAGTTAATAAAACATACGTAAATAGCCTTCTGGTATTCTTTGCTTTCAGCCAAAATCCGTCTGACATCAGCAATGATATCTCTCCTTCCATATCCTTTTCTGAATCCAGCTTGAATTTCTGGCAGTTCACTATTACTGCTGCAACCACTTTTTTTATTTATCTTCATCAAAACTTTGCTTGCATGCGATATTAATGATACCGTTTAATAATTGTTCAGTTCTTTTGGGTCACCTTTCTTGGAATGGGCACAAACATGGATCTCTTCCAGTCAGTTGGCCAGGTAGCTGTCTTCCAAATTTCTTTCATAGACAAGTGAATGCTTTTAGCTAGGATAGCTAAGATTTAATAAATAAATAATATTTTCGAGGATATAGGGAGATTGAAGCCATTATCCATTGCTGGTGGGAATGCAAAATGGTATAACCACTGTGTACAACATAGGATAGCCATTTCTCAGAGAACTAAAAATAGTTCTACCATGTAACTCAGCAATTCCATTCCTAGGTATATATCTAAAAGAATTGAAACCAGAGACTCAGCTACTTGTACACAGTGCTCATTGCAGCATTATTCACAATAGCCAAAAGGTGGGAACAACCTAAATGCCTATCAGAGAAATGAAGTCTTGATACGTGCTACAATATGGATAGAGCTTGAAGACATTATGCTGAGTGAAACAGTTCAATCACAAAAGGACAAATATTGTATGACCTCACACATAAAAAGACAAGAACAGGCAAACATATAGAGACCAATTTTTGTTAGTGGTTACCAGGGTAGGAGGGAAGGCAAATGGGGAAGAGGGTTATAAGCTTATGGAGTACTGCATTTCAGTTTATGATGGTAGAGAAATTAATGATAGGGTTTCATAATCAATCAGTGCAACAGCTGTCAATAAGTTGTACACTTGTGAAAAGTGTGAATTGACTAAAAGAAATAGTTCCCATCCAGACCTCCAACTTTTGGTGACCCCAGGTATGTCAAAGTAGAACTGCACCCCATAGCGTTTTCACAAAGCATGTCACCAGGCCTTCATTCCGCGTTGCCTCTCACTGAACTTTAACCACCAGCCTTTTGGTTGGGTGGGTGCCTAGCATGTAACTAAGTGTGACACTGAGGGACTCCTGTGTATGAAAAATGTGAGTGCAGTTGAAAATAGGTCTTGTGAAAAAAAGTAGATTGGCAAGCTTTGGTTTTTATAAATATTTAGGTGTTTATTTTTTCTTCTTAATGATATTAGGAGTTGAGTTTTACCAAGGAATCTGAGTACTAAATATTATTTCTTTTTTGCCATAGGTAAAACTTTAGTCAAGAAGCTGACAAAAAAGGTAAGCAAAGTGTGTGTATATGTGTGTATTCTTTTTTTAGTTAAAAAATGAATTTATAAATTAAATTGATAATTTTAATGTGTGTTCAAAGGATATCGAGGATGCCTTGGCAGGAATCCAAAAAGCTGTTTGTGGACCAACCTTTTTTAGAGACCTTGGTGATAAAGGTAATTTTGATTTGTTTTTTAAGTTTCTACTTATACTTTTTATGTAACAGACATAGAATTCAGGAATTGAGGTATGAGGTTTGCAACTGTACATTGGCAAATGGTAGTGAACGTACATGAAGAATGGTGTGATGTCATATTTTTTTTAACAGATGTTTTTAAAATGTAATAAAATATTCATTAAGTAGGAAGTATGTTTCTCAAGCAATTCTCAAGCAATTGCTCAATTCTTTGAGCAATTACAGATAAATTACTAAGACATCGAAGTTAATTAAAGCCTGGGGAGAGAAAGAGACAGAGTATCAAAAATAACAGGAGAAGGTCTCAAGGAGAACCCAGAGGAGGTGAACATTTACAGGCTTAGAAGGAGACATCCTAGGAAGGAGATGAGGGTCAAATGACTGGAGAAGCAGAGGACACCAGGAGAAGGTTATCACAAAAACGAAGGGAAAAAAGAGCTAAAGAAAGAAGGTTATCACAAAAACGAAGGGAAAAAAGAGCTAAAGAAAGAAGAACATGTTACCAAACATGTAAGAGTTCAGTAAGTTAAGGGAGTTGAATAAGCTGAGAACTGAAAAACGTTCATTAATTGAATTTAAGAGCAAGGAAGTTTTTTGACAGTTTAGCAACTATAGAGTCAGTGATGTGATGGGACATGAAGCCAGATTGCAAAATGTCGAGAGTTGAGTGGGGTCAGGCAGGCCTTCATTGTGGGTGTCCGAAAGACATGAGTGAACAGAGGCTAGTACTGCTAGGAGACAAGGAGCTCTGTTTTTGCTGTGGTTAAAGTATTGGGCTGGTAACCAGAAGGTCAGTGGTTTGAACACATCAGCCACTCCATGGGAGAAAGATGAGGCAGTCTGCTTCCAAAAAGATTTACAGCTTTGGAAACTCTGTGGGGCAGTTTTGCTCTGTCCTCTAGGTGTGAGTCAGAAATGACTGGATGGCTGTGGGTTTGCTTTGGGCTTGCTTCCATAAAGATGTACGGCCTTGGAAACCCTATGCGATGGTTCTACTCCATCTTGTAGGGTCGTGTGAGTTGGAATCGACTTAATGGCCTATGAGGGGGGTGCTGTTGGGGGGGGCAAGGGAATGGTGGTTTATTTTTGATGGTGATACTTGATCTTGTTTCATTACTAATGAGAGGGAGAGGTAGAAAATGTAAGAGAAAGTATAAATAGGACAGGCTCCTGAAAAATGTGAGAAGGGATTATCTTCAGAGGACAGTGGAAGGATCAGCATTAAATGGGAGGATCCCTTCTCCATTGCATCAGTAAGAAAGAATGAAAAGATGGGTGTTTAAGGCAAATATTTTACAAGTTTAGTGGTTGGAAGTTGAATCAGTTTTTTGGGGATGGCTTTGATATTCTGTAAAAAGTAGAAAGTGGTAGGGTAAAAGTTTATCAAGAAAGGTTTAAAATTGCTCTGTGATAAGGAGAGAGAAGTGACCAGAGGAACATAGAAGGATGCTGCGATGCCTTAAGGAGTCAAAGAGAATGTAGATCGTGAAAGAATAGAACCAGTCAGTGCAATTGGGTGATGATTTTCCAGCATCCTGAAGGAATAGAAATGCTGGGCAGTTGCATTGACCCAGGGTTAGCAATTTGTTAGAAAAATGGATGGAAGAAGAGTTATGGGGCTAGGGAGTTGAATGTGTTGAGGGCAAGAGAAGTTTTACATAGTAAACCACAGAATCTTAGCAGGACAATCGGGAAGAACGTGAAATAGAAAGAGATGAAAAGAACAAAGAGCAGTAACGAGCGGTGCCAGCTATAGTGGGTGTACAAGAGCAGAAAAGAACTTGTGGTCATAGTCTAAAGGATCTGAATTTACAAGTACAGAGATGAAGCATTTCCAGGTGATTTGAAGGTTCAGAATGTGACCTTGGAAGTAGGAGTGCATGGTAAAATTAATTTAGTGGAAGTATCAAGGATCTGAGAGATAGGATGTTGTATTTTCTGTGTTGCAGTCACCTAGGATGATAACTTGAATAGGGAGAAAGACAGTGAAATAGATGCTAAAGTCCTCAGTGAATGAGAAATAATGACAGAGAAGTTTGGTAGATGGCACAGAGAAGAGAAGTAGAAAGTGGTCTAGCTAGATGCTATTAGCCTCAAAGGAACGTTTTTTTACATGAGAGTCAAAGTGTAAAGGTCTGGAATTAGCGTTGCAGTGGAAGAAAATGAGTAACCTCCATTTGAGAAGTCCACAAGGGTACCAGTGTCCTTAGTGGAGAACCAGATTTCAGATAAGGCAAGAAGATTAATCATACAATGACTGTTGTTATTGTTGTTGTTGTTATGTGCCGTCAAGTCAGACCCAACTCATACCAACCCCTCCGTGGGTTTCCAAGGCAGTATCACTACGGAAGTAGATTGCCCAACCTTCCTTTCAAGGAGTAGCTGGTGGGTTTGAACCGCCAGCTTTCTGGTAAGCAGTCAAGTGCCTTGAGCACTAAGGATATTTACTGTAAAAGGAGGATTTCAGAGAACAGAGTAGAAAAGTTTGGGTAGAAGGAGAGGAATGGGAGATGGGTTGAGTCAGAAGAAAGAAAGCATAGAACAGCATGCAGATCATAACCAAAGAGGACAGATACCATTGTCAGGAAGGGGATGGGCTTGCTGAGGATGGCTGGGTATAAGCCAGAGAAGTAAGCAGAGAGCAAATCATATATGGCTTTCTAGGACATAGTAAACACGTCTGGCCTTATCCTGAGAACTGAGAATTGACATTGAAGAACTGTAAGTAAGAAAGTGATCATTCTGAGTAGAAAACTCATTCTGATATCAGTGTGGTGAATGAATTGCAAAGAGGGTGGGAGAAGAGATAATTAGGAGGTGCTAAATGGGCAAGGAGGCCACATGTTCTGACCTCCTCTAACCCTACAAGGGGAAGGCAGGATTACCAGCAGTAACCCAAGGCCTATTACTGCAAGGCCAGACATGCTGCCTCCCTCCAGCCCTTTCACCAACCATTCCTCCCAAAGCACCCACCACCTCTCTCCTGGGTTTGATAATTCACTGCAGTGGCCACACAGAACTCACAGATTATGGGGTTTATTAGGGAAGCACCAGGCTACAACTCAAGTTCAGAAAGAACGCTCAGTCTCTCTCCCAGCCCACCATCCCTCAGCCAAAAGTGTCTCACAGTCTCTTTCCCAGCAGTGCTGGTCCCTCAGTGTCTCACTCAGTGATGTGTGTCTCTTGCGTCTCTTTCCCAGCAGCACGTGTCTCTTTCAGGGGTGCGTGTCTCTTTCAGCAGCACATCTTCCTCAACCAGCAGTCAGAGAGAGTTCTGCCTCCAGGAGGCCTCCTTTTGAGCCCGGAAGGGTGGTCAAACTAGCCAATCACAGCATCAGAACTCTAAGCACGTGAGAGAGAGTGGGAACCTCCCAGAACATTGTATTGTGCCACGCCCAACAGAAATAACCCAGGTGGGCGACTTTAAAATCAGGATCTCCTCAGTTGCTAATAGAAATTCCCACCTTGGAGTTTACAAAGACTTATGGGTAGAAAAGCCACACTAAGTAATTTACTATACCGCAGGAGGCTTTTGCGTTCACCTTACCAAGAGATCACATGCTGGGGAAGAGTACACATTTGATAGGTATTGATTGATTGGATGTGAGAGGGGAGGAAGAAGAAGGAATGAAGTATGATGTCTGTGTTTCTGGTTTGGCAACTCGATGAATGATTATGCCTGATTTACATGACTTTAGATTTTAGAATTATCATCATCTAAATGGCACTTGAAGCCATAGTTGCAAATGAGACCATGCAATAAGAATGTGTGGAGTAAGGAGAGAAGAGACCTTGAGATAGAATGTATTTTAAGGAACAGACCGTGAAAGAGAGCCCTTTAAGGATGCTTGAGAAGGACTGACTGGCCAGAGAGTCCGGGATTCAGTCAGAAGAGTGACTGCATGAAGAGTGACTACATCAGTGCTATGCTGTTAGTGCTTCCAAAGTATGCATATGTGATATACAGTAATTACAAATACTGACAGCTTCCTATGTGGTGGATTCTGAACCCCTTACATGTATTACTGCATTTAATCCTCACAGCAATCCTATGAGGAAGTACTATTATTTAATATCCCTGTTTTACAGAGGCACTAACTGAGGCACAGAGAGGCTGAATACCTGCCCAGAGTCACATCCAGCTAGTAAATTCAATGCATAAATACCATTTCCCTTCATTCTCATATGTAAGCCTCAAATGACAGTGAAAACTAGTCATCAGTCAGAAATTTCACTTCAGTAAATCATTTACATATCTTTACATCTGCTCTTACAAATAGGCAAAGGCCTTGCACTTTTTAATGTAAGAACCAGTCTGTATTTGACAAGTTATATAAAAAGTGTTCACCTGAAGTTACTGATAAATTACTAATCTTTGTTCCTCATATCTGAAGAAGGAATTGGAGAATTAATAAGCAAGTATAATTTCTAAATCAGTGGTTCATAACCCTTTTATTGAATACGGAAGAGTTTTTACAGTTATCTTGAGATTTATAACATTCTCAAATCAGTATCAATTTTCAAATAATAATGTCTGTCACATAACATTCCATACAGAAACTCAACTCACTATCATTGAGTTAGAAACCAACTCATACCAACCCCTAGTTGGGTTTCCAAGGCAATGTCACTACAGAAGTAGATTGACAAGTCTTCCTTCCAAGGAGAAGCTCGTGGGTTTGAACCGGCAGCCTTCTGGTTAGCAGTCAAATGCCTTAGGCACTGCACCACGAGGGGGAAACGAAATATAACAACGAAGATAAATAATGTTGGCATCCTAACTCCACAAAGGAATTTAACCAACTTACTTGTTTTTAATAAGTTTTGATTCTTTCTTGCCCCTTCATGGCTCAGTTTTTAGTGGACTCTGTAGACATTAATTATATACTAGACGTATTCGTGCCTAATACTACACTGCCTGGTTATCTCTACACCACTCTGACCCACCACCTTCCCATATCTTTCAGTTGTGGAATGGAA